CCGCATGGGGGGCCGCAGCGGCCGGCCCACATGGCCGGCCGGCAAGCGCCCCTGAGTTTAGGGTTTAGGGTTTAGGGTCTAGGGTTGAGGGTTTAGGGTGACTAATACAGGCGTACAACGTAGTCATCAGGGGCTCCCTAACTCCAAGGTCCCTCCAAATTTGTGGACCGTGTAGGCTCCAACAGATGCCACGGTTTCTTGATTTTATAGTTTCCAGAAACAGGGGTAATGATCCTTGTTATCGGAACTCGCAGAATGGTACCCCAAATTTTCGCAAACCCTAAACCTTATCCCCATATACCCCTATATACCCCCTTTAACCCTCTAAAGGATGAAGGGACCCCTAATTTGGGAAATTCCAATTTCAGAAAATGCCCTCATAGCTCAGCGGAGCATTAGGAAATGCCCACATAGCTCAGCCGAACACTTCTTCAAGCATCAACGTCACTACGAGAGTTGATTTCCAAAGCTCAAGGACATTCTAAGGGGGCCTCATCTATGCGGGCCCCATACTACGAGATCATATGGGATCTCAGGAAGCCTGAGGGAGGCCGGAGAAAGGTCTTAGGCAGTCCTTAATGATGAGTCCCCGTACAGTTATCCGTCTTCCTTATAATACTAAACCTCGCACGAACATTCCACCAAGTAGCCTGACCTTTCAAAATGAAGGCCTCCCTACATGCGGTGTAGGATTTAGGCTGAGGATCCTCAATCCCGAGATGCAGACAGGACCAAGAACATTATAGGAAGCTTCAAAACCAAAACCCCCAAACCCGGGCCCCTACATTCCCCAAGCTAGCACGGAACCTGAAAAGGGGTACAGTACCGTCAGTGTAAACCTGGTCCATGTGGGGTTTCACGTTTGTTTTCAGAGAGTGTACCCAAATACCCTCAATTAGGACCCACATGAATCCATTGATTCAACATTACAGTAGTTTCCATTATCCATGCTTGTGATTCATAAACCGTCCCAGATTTAAAAAATTGGGCCAAACTTGAAGTCAACGGCAAGTTTGAAGGCAGAGGCACTTTTGGGCCAAAAGCCTCCTAAACTGAAAGAAAATCATCCCCACACCCTAGGAAAAGAAGGGTTCAGGTAAGTTTTACGCTCTAGAACTTAAACTTGAAACTTAAATCTGAAGTCATATACCCTAATCAAACCTAAAACCTGTTCTGTAGTTCTAGGAGAGTATTGGAAGTACCTACTAACTCTAGCCTTCAACTTGTACCCTACATCCCACAATTTGAGAAACCTTGAGGATTGGAAATCTGGTTTGCTTTGCTTGTTAAAAACTTGTTGGAATTTCAAGGCCAAACATTGCTTTCTGAGTTGCCCCTTATGGGTGCTGCTGCCTGGATTAATGGGAAATACCCCTAGAATAATGGACATTTTGTTGGAGTCCCAGGAGAAGGCAGCCTTACTTGAATAAGCCTCAATACTTATGGCATCCAAAAATTTGAGAAGCATAGAAGGAAATATATAGTGTCCTTCTGCA